CCCCCACTCTTCCCTCCCCCACTCACCCCAGCCCATCTTTCGCGGATGCATTACGCTTTACATCAAAACGTAAGGTCGGTCAAATTTCTGTACTTATAGTTGCAAAGAGAGAAATTAATGTCGTCTGTAACCTTTTTCGTAGTTCTGTCACTTTTAAACTGTCATGTCTATATTAGGACACACGTAGTCAAGTATTCCGGTAAAGGTGAAATGCAAAAGAATGCGGGGAACCAAAAAAATGGAAGTCACCATGTTCAAGCATATAGTGATTTCCGTGTTGTTGTTATTTATGGGCTTTACCGGAATGTTTTATTGCGCGGGGGTGGTGAGGTCACTGTAGGCCGCGGCTTTATTTAAGCACGAGGGGGTAGAGATAAGGCCCCGCAGGTGATCTGATTTCTAGCGGTTTCTCATGTTGACTCATGCATTGGTGGTGCATACGGCGGCGGTGCCCGGCGCCCTCTCGCAGCTTAAAGGCCGTTTTGTGGGTGCGACAGACAGAGAGGACTGCTCAGAGTTCTGCGATGGGCGGGCGGCCTCCGCCCGGCAGCACCGAGCGTTCGTCGCCAGAGCGCCCAGCCCGGCCCGTCTCTTCGTCGATGGGCCGGGTGGCCGCCCGGACCGAGCCCGGAGACGGGCGGATGGTCCGCCCGCTTCATTCGGCACCTTTTTGGCGTGGCGAGAGTAGCTGTCGGCCAGCGCCGACCCGCGCCGACCCCGCACAGGTGACTTCGGCACTGTTCGGATGTCCGGCCGGTGACTGCCTCCGCCACGCCAAGCCACAGCACCGCAGCACACCGCCCATGACTGTCGCTCTCTCTCGCACACCTCAGGCGGCGGGCGGAGCCCGCCCGCCCATCGCAGATCTCTGGGACTGCTCCTCTGCTCCCCGCGGCCTGCGGGTGCGAGTGAGAGGGCGGATCTCGCTGTGTTTTCAGCCCCGCCGCGCCGCCGCCGGGCTTATCTCGTTTGATGAAGGTGGGACCTCCTGCCACGCCCGGATTGCATGCAGATATAATCATGCTTGTCCAAAGCTCTGCCCGGCGAGCAGTGCCTCCAAAAGGGCAGGCTGTTGCGGGCTCAACGCATCATGCTCGCAGGTGAAAGAGCCCGCAAGAGCCTGCAAGGTAGATTGACATGCCCGCACGAGCCCGCACATATTTTCAAGTCTAAAATTTTCATATTATTTCTAATTAAATTGATTTTTTGCCTCGACATATTTAAAGAATAGCATCCAATAGTGAGATCTGTCAAGGCAAAAAATCAATGTAATTAGAAATACTATGAAAGTTTTATACTTGAAAAACTGTGCGGGCTCATGCGGGCTTGTCAATCTACCTTGCAGGCTCTTGCGGGCTCTTTCACCTGCGAGCATGATGCGTTGAGCCCGCAACAGCCTGCCCTTTTGGAGGCACTGCCGGCGAGGCGGGGCACTCTGCTCAACCATCGCGTCCCATCAGTCGTGGGTCCCAGCTAGAAATTGATCGGCGTCGACGCTGCTCGAACAAAAACGTGATTTGGTTGCTCAAATCGAGAAACAATCGTTATCGGATCGACGACGCTGCAATTATCGTTTCTGGCTGGGGCCGTCTACAAATTAGGCCGTGCTCAAAGTGCTTTGGCACGCACTTCGTTTTGGAGATACTACTACCAGCACAATTCCTTGAAACGGTCTGTGGTTGAGGCGCAAGCACGTGTAGCACACTCTCCCGTGGTCGCGGTATGGTCCTTCCTCCCGCCCCCTCCGTGCCGTTGGGCCCTCCCCCCGTGGCCGCTCTGCACGACGACGGCGCCGCTCTGCTGGGCCACCGTTATCATCTCGCCAACAGGTGCGCTCCCCCCCGCCGCCCCCGGCCTGTCCCCGCCACCCCCCGCCCCCGCGGGCTGCATCCATTTGTTCTGAGTATTGCCCGGCACTACGTGACCGCGTGGCGCCGCCGGGTGGTCATGTCCTATAGTGTAGTCAAGCCTTTCGCTGCGTTGAGACGACTGCAGCGATATGCGAGCTGTTTTATTATTACTTTATTATACACCCCCACGTCTCTTTTGCTCCGCGGTGCGTTAAATCTTAGGTTCTGTTCGCTGGAAAGTTTCCACCACCGTGGCCGCGCTCAGCTCGGCTCAGCTCCGCCGAGCGTTGAATGGCAGCGCCCGCGAGCCGCGAGCTGCCGCGAGCCCTGCCGCCGCCGCTGCTGCTGCAAGATCACGCGTTCTAGTCCTGATCCTTATGCAACATTCACTACTTCTCCAGCAAAGCTTTGGCCGTTTGGCGTGGGGGAAGGGGGGGGGGAGAGGTGATCATGTCGCGCCATGCGCACAGCCATGCCGTTTTCGACGATATCAAAGAGACTGCCTGAGTGGCCTCC